AAGACAAAATCTCTAAGTGAAGAACCTACCCGAGCTCAGGCCGGCTGCAATGAGCTTGGCCTCCGTCAGATACTGTTGACACTTCAGCCCAAGCCGCGCCCATTGCTGGAGGTCCTTCGCCATCTCTTTGTCAAGCGTGACCCCGGAGTCAGGAGTGGCCATCCCCCACCCGGTATGAAACGGCCACCCCAGCACACTTTGCACCCCGAAATAGTCCCGCTTCCATGCTGGGACCTTGTTGGAGAGTTCATGTAAAAGCTTAAAGCCCGGGCGAGGAGACAGGTAGTATGCCCGCCTACGCCCAGGGAGGGGACCTGCTTGCTTCTTAAGCATCAAGATCAAAGAAAAAGTCTCCAAGTCCAAAGGAAAGCTCTCTTCGCAAAATAAAGAGATTGTCCCCACCAAATTTCGAATGGAGTTCAGGTGCAGCTGGCCGACCGTCACGCCGAAGTGGTTCAAGACTTCGACAAAGAGGGGATGAAAAGGTAATCGCAGCACCGCGGCGAGCTACTCCCGGAATATCACGATCTCATCAGGACCGTGTTCCCAAGGAAAGCTACCCGAAGGTATGAAATAGGCGTACTCCCCGGGCAAGTTATAGTAGGTAATGAGGGATTGGAGCCCCTCGGGCGTCATGGTCGAAGGACCAAACTTGTCTAACATCCGACCCCGACGAGAGGTGGACGTCAAACTGCTCGAAGCGCCTCGGCCTACGAGTTCAAACTCTTCCTCGAGCTCTACCTCTGGCTCGCTAGGGCTATCAGGAGATGCAACTCGGTTCGTAGAACCTGCATCAGACCCGCTGGAAGGACTATCTGAGCTAGACATCGGGGAGTGAGATGGGATCCAGGAAAGTACTCACCCGGAAAAAGGCCATAGACCATAGGAGCTCGGACGAGCAGAAGACCTTGAACGCGAACTGAAGAAACCTGGACGCGAACTGAATGTGAGCTGAAACTCGGACGCGAGCTCGAAAGAAATACAGAAGTGACAGCGACTAGGGTCCCCCCCGGTATTTATACTCACAGTGACCGAAAAGCGACGGATTAGATCAAAGCCAATCCGATGGCCCACAGCCGCACTGACTGCATGTCCCCTAAGACCGAGACGTGATTGGCGCACGTCTTTCTGAAACTGACAGAGCGCCAGCGCACGTCTTTTCGAAACTAACGGAACGCCAACGCACGTCTCCTCAATAAAAGCGGCAGCGGCACGTCTTTTCAAATTTGAAAAGACGCCCGCTATCGCGCCTCCCAAGTGGCGCGCTTTTTTGAAATTTTGAAATAAAGCGTGCGCCGCCACATCTATCAGCGTTTAGGCAGGTCGACGCGCTTCCCGCCTTTTGGATGCTCGAAGAAACCCAAGGAACCCTGACAACGCACCTCCCGCCGTCAGAACCAAGATTCAAAGTGCAGGGCAAATCTACCTGACACCTTGTGAACTCCCCGCGCCAGGGCAAGACCCTTAGCACGAGGAGTGGGGGCAATTGATGAAGGAAGATTTGGCCCGGCCTCACAATCACGCCACGTGGCAAAAAACAAGTAGCTCAACACTTGAAGCAGCGTACCCAGGGTGCAAACACYAAAGGGAAGARACCAGYAGTCYGAACTCCCCTCGAGGAGACCGAACTCCCTTCGAGGAGCCC